CAGCATTGGAAGCGGAACTGTACGAAGTCAACGGATATGAGAACTTCAAAGTTACCACTGTTTACCCGTTTTTTGTACAAACCGGATTGCTTCACTTGTGTAACGTCAAATCTGAGTAAGTACATTATAATGCATATGGATGTAGTTATATATTAATACGTAATGTGGATATTATAATCTGAATTGTGAACGAAGATGGTGGGCGCAATACACTATTAATAATGGTAATCAGCTGCTGATTTTAGTCTGATGCGTATCCTCTCTCCGTCGCAAGTGGCTCAAGCGATCGTCGACGCGGTCTTGTTGCAAAAGTCCGAAGTTTATATACCGAAATTCTTCTTTTGGATGCTTATGTGTGACTGGTAAGTGACTGCCACTTCGACGATCGACATTCAAAGACGTTAGAATAAAGAATCTGTCAGAAAGATTGGGATAAACGATTACTGTAGCTGAATTTTTCAGTTTTTTGCGGGTAGGTAACTAAGCTCTTTTGATATATCTGCTTCCTCCTATTGTTTCCAGGATACTCAGCATCATTTAACGTGTTTTCCTCCATTAGAAAGATTTTACAGTTGAAAAAACTTCATCGTGCTCTATTTAAATGCCAACAGTAGTGGTAAATTATACCTTCATGTTTACTGTTTAATTTGTAATTACGGTATCGATAAATATCGTAGGTTAGAAATTCTTCTCAACATTCCTTCCATGTATTGCAACGCATGGAAATCCATCTTAACATCAGCTTTGGAGAAACGGATTCAGACCGCATAAGGTGTTATTGTAATATCTGTTATTACGGTCACCATAGACCCACCTATGGCGTCCACGTTACGTACAGAGATAAAAATCAGGGATTGCATTCCAGGACGAGGTTTTTGTATCAGAAAACGCGAAGCTACTCAATGGCACAGACGAGAATCATTAAATGACGCATGATTCCTACGGGACCGGACTTCATGGCGTATTGTACCCCATTTCTTGTAATTTCTCTGGCGAAGTTGAGCATTTAAGCAGGCCACGGCTATCTGCCATTGAAATACCTTTAATGTTAGGTACATCTTCGTTTTCTTTTTACGAATTTATGATTCATCTGGCGATGAACGGCAGAATGGATCTTTTTGGAGGCTCTACCTGAAATGATTCTTCATTTGTATTGAGGAGTTGCGCCATTACATGTCGTTGAACTGTGAATCTCTGTCATTGTCATATATTAAGATGCTTCACTTTGGCATGACATCCAGGTTTATGCATTACCGTATTTTCATTGACGAACTAGTTCTCATGGATATTCTGACTTTGATCCACCAGGAAGCCCATAGCTTTGGATAAACAATACTGGCCCTGCATATAGTATGTGAGGCACACCGCTGTTAAGTTTCTTCCTGTTTTGGCACATACGTTCAGTCTTTTTAGCCGGAATGGAAAGAGGACCCTGCCTATTTTCTCACCACCTCAGCGACCCGCTTTTCACAGTAGAGGGATGACTCGACGTCAGTCAGTCACTCAGCTGGTCAGTGTCTCAAACGTTCCCGATTTTGTGCCAGCGTTTGAGTTTAGGCAAAACATAACCCGTCTCGAGCTGAGTCCTTAGAAATGTTTGCCCCCGGTTATTCATGGCTGTCCCCGAGGTCTTCGGCTGACCATTTCAGCCAGTAATAGCTGTTCTGCCGTCGTTTCTGGAAGCGGTCACAAGATATGCCCTGACCATCGCAGCTTTCACTTTTTAATCTGGATAAACTTCGGCTGTACATCAAAGCCCAAGGCTATCTCACATCTGAACTCTAAACCATGTCGAGATTCGTGATCGCAGCTATTCGTCGCAGAAAGGCAATTTCAGTAGTTTATAACCGTCATCTAAGTTTTTCAGTCATGGAATACGACTCATGATCATAGACGAGCGGTGGGATAAAGATCGACTTGAATGCATACAGCTTATTCTTCAGAACAAGCTCCGCTTTAGTCACAGCGGTTGGTGCCAACAACAAGACGATGATCGGTTGTCAGCTC